TATATTCAGCCCAAACAGAGGCCTATGAAAACTCAGGCTGATTGATTTATACAATTTTGTTATAAGCAAAGAAAAAGGCTTTGCACACAATTTTTCAATACAACGTCTTGTCTTATACCCATCCTTAACAAGGACTTAAGCTAAATGATGATTCCCCTTGTATTCCAGTTAATTAAAAATCCATATTTTGTATTAAAAGTAATTTGAGGTGTATAGCTGTATTGAAAATACTGGAGCTGGAAGCATTCTTTCTGTCTGTGTAAGGGGTTCAAGGACAAGCAGGGTTGTTCAAGCTTCACCTCATTTCCCAGCCAACTTGCTACAAATCTGAATTGTGGGAGGATCATAGTTCACCTTCTAAATTGTTTCAGTCCTTCATCTCTCCAGTCAAGGGTACCAGTTGTCTTGGTTTTGTGCTATAAGCATTGTCCACTGTTAAAGGCCCGAGAGACTGACTTACTACTGACAGGTAGGAACCAACCAAATTTATGGCAAAAGTGGGGTGTGCTGTGGCTTCTTTAATCTTGCAGTTTCCTCTGTGACACCTGCCCCCCCCACCATTGATTGGGAAAGGGGCCCTGCTTGCAACTTGCTCCTGATCAGCAGGGAGGTGAAAGCTGCAGTTTTAAATATGGTACCATTTTTGCCTCCTGCCACTGATTGGCTGAGGGGTTGCAGACAGCTCTGCTGGTGGGGGAGGCAAAAACAGTGCTATGTTTAAAACCCCAGTTTTAGCTTGCTTGCTGATCAGGATGGAGGGCTGGGTCCTCTGCTAATCAGCAGTGGGGAGGAGGCAAAGGGTGAGGGGAGTGCAGGTGACCATGCAAGATTAAAAGGAGCCGCTGCACACTCTACTTCTGCCATGAATTTGGTAGGTCCCAACTGGTAGGACACTGAAAAGTCTTCAGATGATATAAATACAATTCAAACCAGAGGGCAAAAGATTCTATTAAATGCAGTTCTTATGTAATGAACCTGGAACATCTTTTAAAAACCTCGTTTCTGCAAGGAACATATCCTACCATGGTTCTAGTTGCTGACAACCTGTCTGCAGCTTTCTTTACTTGATCTGTGTTCTGTCTTGTTTAATCTTCTTAAATGCAACCTTTTTTCAGCAGAAAATGCTGTATTTTATAAAACTGTGTGCATATTTATGGCACTAGATGAATTACAGTATTATCTTGTGTTTTGAACCATTAGTTTCAGAAACTGGAAAAAAAAAGATTTTTTGAAACCCTTTTACTATGGAAAACTTTTATTTAAACTGTGCAATCAATCAGTATTTAGACAGCAGTTTCATAAACATTTGGCATTTAAACTTCTATTCATTTTTGGCATGACCTTTGGGGTAGTATATAAACAACCCTGAAAAAAAGAGAACCAACACACTAGGTAACAATTACTAAAATGCTATAAAAAAGTAAAACAAATCCACATTATTAAACAAAATATTTTAAAAAAGACATGAAAAAGGTACATTCAAAATCAAGGCAAACACTAGCTTCCCTGGTGCAATGGAATTCATAGAGCTGATCCCCTGAGTCAAATATAAAATTAATATAATTCAGCTCCATCCTCCATTAGCAAGTCAGCTATTGCTGCCCTTATAAAAAAATGGCATATGGAGTGAAAGGACCCAGAACACCCACAATATGAGATACATAACTGGCTCCTACACTTACAATTCATTCACATCTTTAAAAAAACAAGTAAACAAACAAAAAACCCAAGAAACAAAAAAGCCAAGAAACTAAAACAATATTTTTGTATAAAAAGTAGGTTTCACATACAGTCAGTCTTTACTGAAAACACCAGGCAGATGCAATGAAGGTATATGCAACAGTGTAACATTTGGCAAATTCCTAAATGGGATCAATTCACTGCCAGTATTATTCTCTGAGCCCTGATTCAGCAAAACACTTAAACATGTTTACACCTGTTTAGAATAAATCAGCAAATGATCTATCAATGGAAATCTAGAGAAATTCCACAGAAATAAATAAAATCACTCAAATTTTTACCAGCGATGCTAAGAGCAGAATTTGGCCTAGATTCAGTTTGTTAACACTATGCTAACATGAGACAGGTGTTGCTCACTGCATTTAGTTTGCAGATGAATAATGTTTTTAAAACGACATTAAATTTAAGTTTCATGGAAATGTGGTTTCATGGAAAGAAGAAAAGCATTTTCTTGCAACACAATGCTTCATGTTAGCTACACAAATGTTAGCTTTCAGGTCCTCGAGAGTCCAGTCTTGCTCCTCTTGGAACTATTTGTTACCAGAAATTCTAGAGGTCCAGCAGCTACAAACAGAATACACTTTGCATAATAATTATTCAAAAAAGATTATTTCCAAAATGTAGTAGCAATAACTGTATTAACGGCACTACAGTTAACTGGAAATATTAGAAGTCACTGGAACTGGCACTTACCTATCCCTGAAAATGAATTTAATATTAAGTACCTGCTAAAAACTGCATAACTTTTAAAATAATTTATCAATCCTATTCCTATGCATATCATTAACGCATTGAACTATCATTACTGATTTAAATATTGATGACTGGTATACTGCAAAAGGTACTTAGAAATACCTTGTGAACATGTATCAGCTGTGCATTTCATATGCTTCTTCCTTGCAATGAACTTCTAGCTTTCCCAACAATTTTAAATATTTGGTAAGAGTAGTTTAAATTGGCAGTAAGAAAAAACCCCTCTGTGTCACCTGCCAAAATATCTGTTCTGAATTTGCAAACCTGGAATGTATACCCTAGGTAACATGCTATATACCATCTCAACATGTATTAAGGTAGATCTTGCTTACTGTTGCAACAGAGCATATCCAGAGTAACTTCACTGGCCTTAGTGAAATTACACCAATGTACACATGTGCAACTAAGTTCCGTCTGTTATTTTCAAGAGGTCTAGAAAAGTCTTATACTGCCCTTGATTCTTGCATACCGCGCCCACAAATGTCAAAGGGAATTCTGCTGCCACAATTTCTCTTTGTAACAAATGCAGTGAGCATGAACTTGCAGCTCTTACTCATATTTCACTGGCATTTTGCCTGAATAAGGATTGCCCCATGAAATAGCCGTACTTCAGAGATGCTGAAATACAGTTTTAAGATGCAAGTCTGTTTGTTTGTAAACCTCCTGAAATTAATGAGGCAGTACTGGCCCGACCCTGCACCCATGAAATGAATGGGGATCCTGCCACTGACTTCCGTGCAAGCAGGATGAGCACCTCTCTGAGTGATGCAAACAGGAAGCAATGGGATAAAACTACAGAACAAGCCAGGAGTGTCAGATATAATATAAATAGGTGAGGAAACCTCATAATACTTTCTTACTGTTGCAATCCCCAAAGTTTAGGGAGCAAAAGGTCAGTAAACTTTGTCAAGTTACATATGTTAACAAAAACAGATCTATAAAAAAGTTCAGTTGAAGTGCAAGTGGAAAGCATTTACCACTCAGCTTAGACTATGCTAGGACACTGAAAAACCACACAGAGGTCACGAAATGGACAGGGGGCGAATCAAACCAGCAGCTAGGGCTTTGGATTTATTTCTAGAATGTAGACATCAGCATTGCTGCTGGAAGGGCAATGTGAGTGCTAACTTGGAAATTTAGTAAACCCAACAATCAACTTCTGGATCTTCTCCTGAGAATTTTTATGCTTAACCTTTTCAAGTCACATCAACTGTTTTTGTCTTTGTTTTTTTAAAAAAAAAGCAGTATGAGGATTACACATACAGTCATTACATCAGCCATGGTGCTTTAGTTCTTAATAAATTTAACAAAATTAATTCATATGGTATAAACAAAATTCCTTATTTTTGTTCCTCTTCCGAAACATATTCAGTAAAATTCATAATTAGACAATGGATAGTGTTTTCTTATCTCCAGTACCCAGGACACAACCAAGAAAAAATGCTGGGTAGCCTGTGATTGTTCTGCCCATGAAGTTTCATTGGGTATTTCTATGGCAAATGGTAAGGATAAAGCTTGCATACAAAAACTGAAATTTCTTTAAAAGTTCATACCCTCAGCTGTCAAAATAATGGCCTGAATTAATAATATCACACCTTTATTAGACACTTTAAGAGAACATTTGCCCTTTGCACTTGGTTCTGCACCCAGTGGGCTAAATGGCAGTTCTGCTATTGATTTTAATGTGAACAGTTCTGATGCACATACAGTTTCTGTAGAAACTACTTTGCTCACACTGGGCTTCTTCTGGATCATAAGAAAAGTAGTTCTCAACAGAATTTTACTTTTGTGATAAAGCTTAAATTAAGCCACAGATCTTTGTTAGGATCATTTTTTTCCCCCGCAGTAACAAAGTAAATGGCTCTGGATTAGTTAGGATAACGGTGAGTAGATGAGTGTGAACTGGGTTCTGGAGATGCACATTATATTTGGTTGACAAAGACAAAGCAAATGAAATGGAACAATTTAATACCTAACTAAATTTGCTTATATGCTGAGGTAACCTTAAATATCTTTGGTTTTCTTCATTTGCTGATAAAAAGTACTTTAATAAACAGCATTATGGATGTACTGTTTTGTAAATTTTTTCATCTCTCTGGCTAGTGAAGCTAAAACCCTCTAGCAGACAAATAGAATAGAAAACTCTACCCCTCTAATTAGCCATAACTTCTGTAGCAGGTCTTTGGCAGAAGTAGTTGAGGAAAGCATTCTCATTTGTAGGCATAAAAACGTATATCAGTACTTACAGCAAACAAATCTTTGGAGAAGAAAATAGTTACCCTTTGCATATCAGCCCTTTTTGAGTGAAACACTAAGAAATGAAACTAATCTGAAAAATGAAGTATGAAACTTCATACTATGGTTACACATTCTTACCTAGTTTCGGTGAATTAATACTTTTCTCTAACTAGGAACAGTATTTTGCTGTACATTAAACAATTTGCCTGATGCGACCAAAAATAAATCTTTGGTGAGAAGGTTTTTTTTCCTTCAGCAAGTAGATAAAAACTGTTCAAAAATATTTTATCTAATACTGTAATGTTGAAAAACTACATGCTGAAGAAAAGAAAAAATTTACACGTGAAAATCTTTGGAGATATCTGCTGGTAAGACGTTATTACAATTTTCTTTAAAGGCTTTTGTAACAATAAGGTAGTTAACAATTGTAGAAGCATACAGCTAATCTAGGTAATCAACTACTACAATCAATAGAAGCCCTATTGTTTTTGATTAGTAACTACTTATACAATAAAATGTATTCAGCTCTTCAAACCTATAGTTTTCAACTAGTTCAATTATTATTATTTTTTTTTGGAAAATATGCAGCTTTCTTTTTCCTACAGAAAATTCTTTGGTACAAGATTATTATTTTAAAGCCTTTAAATCAACAATATTATGAAAAGGTGAACACACACTGTCTGGTACAGAACTAGCAAACAGTTATAAGCTAAAGATCTACAGTAACTACAGGCCGATTCATGAAAATAAAAGCAGGTGACAAGGGCTTATAGATAACTTTTGATGCAAAGTAACCACCCAAAAGTCATTCAGACCACATCTAAGTTGAAATCTTTGCCCCACTGAAGTGGATGGGACTTTGATATGAACTTAAATGGAGCCAGGTTTTCACTCGAGATGTATTTCACAACTTTACATTTTTCAAATTTTGAAAACTGAAAACAAATGCCAAATTTTCTTTTCTTTTCCTTTCTCTTTTCCATTTAAATGAATGGGGGCAGGGAGAGAAACCTATACATGAACTACTTTATAACACCAGATGAAATCGGCCTCTCTCTCTCTCCTATTAAAAAAAAAAATATGATACCCTGTCAGTTTGCCCCACACTTCTGAGAGGCAGCTCAAAAGTAACAAACTGTTCCCTGAGTACAGGAAAAAAATAACACTAGAATAACTTTAAAAGGAGGTAGTATAAAACAGGAATTGTATGGGTACAAGGCAGTAGCAACATTCACCCTTTCACAGACTCTTCAACTAAAGCTCTGGCTATTTCACTGTCACTGGGCGCATCTACATGAGATGTTTACTGCACGGTAGCCTTATACCACTGCGCGGTAGTGTGCCGGTCAAAAACCGTGCTAATATGCTACTGTGCAGTAAGTGTCACAAAAAACCTGTGCACACTGGTGCTACTGCACAGTAACTGTAGCTACTGCTTATTTAGTTGGTACATCATTAAGCAAATACTAAACTAAATGCGCAGTAACTACTGTGCATTAATGAACATGTAGTTGCACCCACTGAGACCCAATTAAGAATTTTAGATTGGCATGTGGGTAAAGTCACTCCCTGAGCTAATTTTTTTCACTGATAGCATCCTAGAGGAGGCAACAAATAGGACTGCATTATAACAACAGCTCTGAGACGTGATGCAGTGCTACAATCACTTATTGGCACTCAAACACTAGGTAAAAATGAACTATGGATGCTAACCTGACAATACAATTTATCCATAAGTTCTAAGCAGCATTTAAGGCAACTTTTTGTACTCCGAAGCAACTTTATGAATATTAAGAAGGCATAAGGCAAAGCAGTAATTTTATAATATATAATGAAAGGCACCGTTGCTATGAAGTACTAGGGTACTGGAATATTTAGCATTACTGTCTATTGTGTGTATTCTTTTAGACATTTTTCACTTTGTTCCAAGCTGGCTGGAAAGCTGAATTCTAATTCATTTCACTAAGCTTTCTAGCATTTAATCTCCAATAAAGGGGCAATGTTATAATTTTGTAGGGAACCCAGCATATCCTAGGGCCCTATGAATGTAGTACACATCCTGAAAGCAATGGCTGGAATAAGATTGTATGGAAAAGGCACTGTCCTAGGCAGACTGGGGCTTTTGTGGCTATAACAATCAAAAGGCCCAAAAGGCATGTCCAGTTACTTTTTAAAAACTTGTTATGGGCATCTACTGTATCTTTTAAAGAATATACTCCATTAATCCCATACTGATGCATAACAGTCCCATTATTTTCCTCATTTAAATCTTAGGTCCATGGTGGTGATTCATATTTTATCCTCCCAGGTTCCCTCTTTTTAAAGTCAGAGCTTCAGCTAAACAGTCGTTCATCTACCTATACAACTCCTTTGATCACTCATGCACACGCATACAAATACACACACACACACAGCCAAAAAAGAAAAAAAAAACTACTAGGAAGTATCATCTGTCATGTAGCTGAAACCAACTATAAACAAAAATGAGGTAAAGCAGTTGTTCAGAGTTCACCACTTGGCAAACTGAGGTAGATAGTCAGCAAAGGGGCCAACAGCCTTCCCTTTGCTCCAGTGATAATTTTTTTACTCTGGTCAGAAATCTTTACTGTCCTTTCACATTGTTACCCATTGAACATTCAAAATGAGTGAGTTTAAAAAAATACAAACAAAACCAAAACACATTCACCAGAAATATGGGATCACCTGATGGGTTGTCAGGCTCCCCACAATAAACTTTGGCTCCCTGTTCATTGTCCTTCGAACAGACATACACAGCAAGGATGTCTGGCATGACTATCAGGATGAGTATGTCAATTTTGTGCCATGGACTGTTTCTGAAGAGATGAGGTAGGACTCTGATCAGTAGGTAATGGCACAGGAGGCTCTCTGCAGTTACTTAAGACAGGGTTCACATTCACACCTGAGTCACTGCCTACAAAAGAACCAGACGTGCGTGGGGTGGTACTTATAACAGAAGAAAGATGTATTTCGTCGTTGGACTCATGTGAGAATCTTCCAGAGTCTCCTGTTTCATGGCTTCCTTCACTGTTTGCTGAATGCTCTGTATCAGCTACAATACTGAATGGCACCTGGAAATTAGATTGCTGGCCTGGGGAATTGGGGGAGTCATCTTCACTGAGCAGCACAGTAGTGCCTGGCTGATATAAGCACACAGCTTGGACAAATCTTCTTTGAGGCTGGATAAAAACAAGGGGAGAAAGTGGTCACTCAACTTTGGTTACACGGAGACAATGAAGAACTTTTTGTTGAACTCCTTGCCCTATTTGGCTGAAGTATCTATAACAGCACTAGCCGGGAATAATAACCTGCAAATACCTTCTAAAGGGGAGGATAAAATGGTACAATCTCAAGTCTCTCTAATGTTTCCTCTCCAGTACTAGGTGAAATAGTCCCTTCTAGCTAACCACACATAACTGAGGTTGATTTTCATTGATGATCCTGTCTGATTTTTATAAATTACATTTGTGTATTCCACACCCCCATAGATCCTCTTTCATGTAACATTCACAGGGTGGCAGTAAATCTTTTGCTCAGAGATGCAATAGCAATATGCATGCCAACTTTGGACAAGCTTTAGCTTGAAGGGTAGGTACAAGAATATGAATTTATGGAGAATCCCATATTTCTTGACTATGAAAGAATATGCAAGTCACAATTCAATAAGCATAATGAGCTAGATCCTCAAGTATAAACTGGCATGGCTATGTGGATTTACATTAGCTGGGGCTCTGGTCTAGTGACTTGATTATTTTACACTCTCTTTTATCCCAAGAAGTATAGTCAGAGCACCATCAGAGGAGCTATTCATTCCTGACTTCGAGTCTTATCTCTAATTCTATTGTATTTACTTGAATGTGAGATTTCCCCCCCCAATCAGCATAAGGAAAAAAGCCCCTCATCTCAGATTCATGTACAAAATGGAGAAGGGGGCAGGTGGCTGCTGCAACTCTGACTCTGGCCCTGAGCAGCCTCCTGCCCCAGCTTCATTTCTCCTCTGCAGCTCTTGTTCAACCCCCACACTTCCTTTCTGGTTGGCTTGAATTGGGTTCCCTTTCTGGCATGGAGTACATGGAAACTGTCCCCTGCCCAGCCAATCAGTGCTGGGGCCCAGGGCAGAGGCAAGATCTGCTACCTGCATGCTCCTGCCCAAGGAAGTGGTGCCCATTGCAGGGGCACACGGATAGCAGATTTGGTTGTCCTGGGCCCTAGCACTGGCCCCGCGTTGCCTCCATGGAGACTGGCCAGGACGTGCACAGGTACAGCACCTGACTGGGTGGATGGGATGGGGTTGCAAGCAGGTGGGGAACAACATCCATGAGCAGGACAGGCGGGAAGGGCTGGGGCTGGCATTGGGATCGCGGGGCTGTGATAGCGCAGGGGCCAGGGCTTGAGGCAGAGCTGCAAAACACTTATGGCACCACCCTGCCTGTGAAACTGGCATTTGTCACAGGAACGTGCAGGCAGCGGATCATGGCTCTGCCCTGGGCCCCAGCCCTGTGCTGGCACTGTCCCACAGCCCCAGCCCCAGCCCCACCCTGTTCCCTGACGCTGCTCCCCGACTGCTTGTGGCCTCATCCCAACCACTTAGCTGAGCACACCCTTCTCATGCAGTTCCCGGGCCGGTCCCCATGGAGACCCCACCCACCTGCTCTGTCCAGCATCCCAGACAGTGGGTGAGGGTGCAGACAGGCCGGGGTGCCTGAGCAGTGGGGCTAGGGCCGGCAGCGGCAGTGAAGACTGGCAGTGGCAGCTGGAAGGAACCACCTCTGTGGGGGCTGCCAAGAAGCGAGTCTGGCTGCCACAACATCCCAACCCAGCTGCACACTGGGGGGTGGTAGGACCAGCCACATTCACCATGGCTCTAGCTGCCCCCCACACCTGGACCAACTGTGGGCTGGACAAAATCCTCTGGTAAGCCAGATCTGGCCTGCGGGCCATATTTCCCTATCCCTAGTCTAACAGTAAGGGGAAGGGTGCAAGAGGCAGAGAATGGTGAGTAGGGGGAGGGCAGCAAACAGAGCTGTGGCAAACCAAGGGTGAGGGGGTGCTAGTGGCGAGGGAGCAGGGCAGAAAGGCTGCAGGGGGAAGAAGTGGGGGACACAGAGGGCAAGGGGTCCCCTGAGCCCCCGTCCCTGGCAGCCACCTGATCCTCCCAGTCACTATTTTCCCTGCTGTAGCAGTGGGGAGGATGAATTTAAGATAACCCTCCAATAACTAGATTCTATATCTAGGAAATTTCAACAAATGTATAAATCAGGGTCTACTTAGATTCAAGTAACTACAGTAATTTCCCTCTGTACACAGAGATATTACTACTTATTTACCAACCATTTTCAGGATAGCGAGAGGATTATTTAAAACATCTATCGAGCACTTTGCAGCTACAATGTAGAAAATGTTTTACTCGTTCACAAAGTGCAACCAATTTTAGCTTAAGCAGAACAACTGCTTAACAGTACAGAGCAACACTGCACACCAGTTTAGGCCAGGAAATAAAAAATAAATCCTCCACTTGTATTTATAAGGAGATAAAACACCATCATCATGAAGGTTTAGAAATCATTCTGATAAAAGCTAACCTATTCCTAATGTGTTTAAATAACAAGTCTAACCCTCTTTTCTGGTAACAATATAAAATTATCCTAGGGCTTGCCTGTTCACACTCATTTGGGTAGGTTACCTCCTCCGCCTTCACCTTCTTTGAATCTTGGAAGAATAGCCACCTTTTCTTGTAGCTGGTCTTTGTGACAGGGCCATAACTGTTAATAATCAGATCAGTCCCCCCCTAAAACAGAGAAAGAGTATATTGTTTTATTAAACTATACTGGTAAGAGGTTTTTTTTTCAAAAGTACAGCTCACTGGTCACACATCCTGTTTATTCCCATTAGCAGCTCACGAATGACAAAGGGACTGAATCAAATCTGTCCACTCATTTGTTTTCTGTGGTCTAATAAGCACAAAATACCCAAGCATAATTCCTTTCCCTGTGCCTTCGATACCTGGAATTCCTCCATCCAAGCTGTACATCAGAAACATCAGAGCAACTGATATGTGGCAAGTTCAACCTACCCTTTTAACCTCCTATAATTTGTTCATCTGTCCATAACTTAACAGCTATATAAGTAATGCTGGTTAGGGTATTTAACTTAGTGGGACTTAGATTTGTTTAGAAACCCTCTCTCCCTGCCACTGGATGTCTACAATAGAACTCATGAGACACCTAGGCTGCAACCAGACAAGCACAGACATGTGATATGCGGCACCGCACCATATGCTGCACATGTAGGCATTCCCCTCACTGCTACTTTGCAGTGTGGGGGTGGGGTTCCTGACCCCAAGAGATCCTGGGGTCAAAGAAACCCACACCAAAGAAAACCGCTGCCCAAAACCACAGCCTGGCCAGCCAGAGCCATGCTCCAGCTGCTGACCAGGTTTCTTACCATGGTTGTAGCCCCAGAAGGCACCCCAGGTAAGGTTGCTGGAGCCAACACAGTTGCTGGCCCCAGCCTCCCCTACCACCTACCCCATCCAGGGTAACTTACCACACATAAGATGTGCTGCTGTTACCTGTCCCCAGGGAAACAAATGTCCACGCTTATCTGGACGTGTCCCTAAAGGGCACTTTAAGCTATAGACTCTCACCCTCACACACTGCTAAAGCCAGAATCTGGCACTCTTTAGCACACAGCATACGTATTCAGGCAGACTTTAGGCAGTTTAGCAATGCCACTGCATTGCAATAGTTGAGGTTGTCCCACTTCTGAATGCTGATTATTGTTATTGATTAACATATTTCAATGAAGGAAGAAGGTCACAAAGTCTGTCAATTGTTTCCATAGTAATATTTCTACCTTAGAAGCAAAATGAGGCTCACATTACCTTAGCATCAAGGAAGCTGTTCCCCACTATCATTGGCAGTAAGGATTCTTCATTCTCTGCAATTCCTTCAATACTCTTCCCTGCCTCATTAGCACTGGCTAACGAGATGCTGGTATGTGATAGCTGGTCCGTACCTTGCTGCACAGGTTTAGGAGCAGACGTTTTCCTGTGCAATATTAAGCAGGAATATAATAGGCCCATGGAAGAAATACATAAGATCAATTTACAATAACACCATATTCCCCTAGTAAATCATAATGTACAGGCTCTTACTTTATAATGAAAGAACATTTCCTATGATTAGTAACATTATCTAGGAAGAATAAACAGTTATGAGAACAGGGCTGTTCTGGTACCCAAGTATGGCTAAAAACAACCTTCTCTTAAACTGTGGGAAAAAATAGTCTAAGGGTCTCCTGGGCCAAACAGTCCACTGGAGCAGCATGGTTAAAGTGCATTAGTGTCTACAGCCAACTGCACAGGAAGGAGTGATGCAGTTAGTATTACATCTGACTGCCTTTGACACTCCAACACAAATCATTAGGTACCTACTTACAGTTGGGTTGCCTAGAGGCAGTCTTTGATATCAGTTTGGAATCATACTCAAACTTGCAACTCCAGAACTGTAGTGAGGCACTTTAACTACTCTGTCACTGCAGTCTGGCTCTACTGTGACAAAAGCATGAGATCATTTATGCTGAACTGGAACACTTCATAAAAAAGCAGAGTAACTTAAAAGTCCCCAAGCTCCAAACTTGCAGGCCTAATTCACACCGCAGTTAATGATATAGGCTGGACAGTGACCTCCACCTGCATAGCTGCAAAGCAACTGAAGCAAATATAACTGAAGTCCACTTCTGAGTTCTTTATATCTTGAGTTTGCAGAAGCTCCTCCCCAGGAATACTGTGGGGTTGAGTCTCTGTTGACTGGGACTGGGCAGGCTACAATGTAGTTCAGGGGGAGCTGCTGAAAAATATTGCAGAGACATCTCTGAATCATGGGGATTTCCATTTGAAAATATGATTACTAACTAGATTACTAACTCTTCAAGCAGCATGAACTCCCCTCTGTGCCTCCTACCCCCTCCATTACAGAAAGGAACTAGGTAAAGGAGGGGGAAAGAAAATACTCATCAATGGTATGACCGTGTGAAGTGAGGCTGAATACTCTGTGGTAGGAGAGTACACTCTCAGATGGAATGAGATGTCTCTGACTGCCTGGTTTCACAAAGGAGCAGTACTTTTAGAAAGTACTTACATCTTCCATAATGAAAACATACCTGGCTTTACTGCGGTAGATCAAAATCAGGATGCAGATAAGAATACAGGTCAGGGCTATACACACTCCAACAACAATACCAGTCATTGATTTCTGGTCCAAGTGATAATAGCCAGAATAAGCTGCAGTATAAAGAGTCACACGGCACTTAGACTTAGTCACCCCTTATGTATATCTGAGAATAAATGCAGTTACAGCCACAGTAATATTGACATTTTCCCTTTAAATACTCTTTTGCAGACCTTTGCTATTATACATTTTTACATTTCTGTTGGAACAAACACTTTGAATATTAGGCTTATGAAATTCAAGCTTTTTAACCTGGGTAGTTTCATTAACTTGTTTTTAATTTGGTTATCATACACATATTAGACTAAGTCCTAAGGCCTAACTATTTTTATTCAGTGTTTTCTCTGGGAAACCTGTCACTGACTTTCAGGGGCAGGAGAGAACTGATTGAGATCCTCTATTTTCTGTCTCACTAAAGGCAAAATATCAAAAAGGTTAGCAAAAACAGACATCTCTGAAAAATTACCAGCTTTTTCATTTTAATAGTTTTAGAATAATCTACTAAATGTATATTAACTCATCCAGGTAAATGTCTACTCAGTGACAGAAGAAGGCAACTTTGTAGTTCTGTTCATGTATTGAGAAGTTACTGAAACAGTCTTCATCTGTAACGCATCTAGGCCGGTTTCCAGTGGGAGAACCGTAAGAGGAATACCATCCTAGGCAAAGACAAGTGAAGGTAGGCAATGACTCATAGGTCCAAAGAACTGGGATCCAGATTCCATTTCCACGCAGCTGCTTAGGAAGCCATCTTGCTCCTGAGATATTCTCTTATTCTAATGGACTCCATCACATTAATGTGTCATGTTAAATAAAAGTCATCCCTGACTAGCAAAGTACAGGTAAATATGCGATAATTATGCAAGGCTAAACAAATGGCATTCAGGACAAGGATAATTTCAACTGTACACTGTCTTTGAACTGAGAAAAACTGAAACCAGAAACTGTATGGACTGGGGCACAAAATTCCGAAGTTTCTCTAAGTGGAAAGGCTGCCTCACACCAAAAGCCTGAGCTGGTCCACGAAACAGTCATTGGATGACACCAGTCACAGATCTTTTCTTTGGTAGCTGATAATATTCTAATATTAAAGCCTTAGTCTGTCTGTCCATAGTGCTTTATTTGCACTCTGATTGGTTGTCTGAAACAACCAATCAGAGTGCTCCAACAGCGTTCCGGACAGGAGGTAGCGGCACACCACCATGACAGCAGGGACAGAGAGGGGGGTGGGGGGGTGAAGCCAGCAGCACTGACCTCATGTCTCACCCCCCTCACCCTCCGCCAGTGGCACAGAGTACTGGCTGAGGGGACAGTAAGGCAAGGTTCCCACCCTTGTTCTGGGAGACGGCGGCGGCACAGGGGGGTGGGTGGCAGCGCTCTGTTCCTGCTGCCCCACCCCCATCATTTCTGATGGGCAATTGGCTAGTATTAACATAAACACTATTACTGACCTGTGGCATCTGCTGAATCTAAACGTTTAGGTCTCTGATTGGACTCTGATGTCTCCTTTGGCAGGACAGCAAGTTCCACTGCATTTGAAAAAGGTCCTTCTCCCACCTCATTGGATGCTGCTATTTTAACAAGGTAGACATTACCAGCCACAAGATTCTCCAGCAAAGCCATAGTTATTGCTCCTATTAAAAGATTTTATTAAAAATAAATATCAGTTAGGCAAATAATGTAGAAACTTACTGAAATCTAGATATAAGAAGAGATTTTGTTCCTTTGAATCTTGTTTGGAAAAGGGAGCACAGCATTCATATTCTTATTAACAATTAATAGCATACAAGTACTTTCCCACCAGCTTCTTTCAAATCAATTGCATCAGTAAAATAACTATGCTGTTTACTGCACAAGCATGGTAAGTCTGCAACTTTTGATCCACTTAAAGAGAGCTTGGAAATGGGAAGGGGGAAGAGGAAGATACTTCACACTGCAAATCAGCAACAAATTATAGTGGTCTTTCAAACTCTGCTCCTGTTGGCCCCAGATCAGTAAAAATAAAGGTTTTCTTCAATGTGACAGAATGGCTAAATATCCTCAGCATCACTTAATATATATCTGTGAAGCCTGAGGAAGAACTTAATCTTTTTAACATCTGGGAATCTTCCACCTAAGGCTAGCATGGAAGTAAATTAGTGACAGGCATTACCTATGACTAGCTCTTCTCAACAAAATTAACATACTGAAAAAAATCTTACTATTAAAAATTTCCTGCCAAAGAACTTCCCAACTTTCCCTCTGTATTCCCCTCAAATTTGTATCACAAGTCTACTTTATTTATACTTTAACTAGGAACAGACAAACAATATTCCACTACTGAGGTTTCCATGAAGATAAGCCATTTTTAAAAATGGCTCTCATCCCCCATATTCTCAACAGGGCTGTGTCTGTCTCCTGAAGAAGCATTCATCATCCTTGAGGTAAACATGGCTTCACAATCAGTGAAGACAATGAGTTGTGACAACCATTTTACAAGAGGACTATTTTTTCCAAGTTTCTTGAGGGGGAACAAGAAAACTTTTGGTCATAGGTGACTGGTAAGGAGGGTGTGTGTGTGTGGGGCGGGAGGGGCACATGTCCCCCGACAGTGCCACCCACACCAGCAGTGGCTTATGCAGGTGCTTGCCAGCCCTGTCCCCAACACTGGCTTCTGTGGGTACCCCACCAGGCTCAGGAGGCACCAGTTGCCCATGCTTTTGCTTATGAAAAAGAACAGCATAGAATCTGATTAAACCTAGAAATTTCTTTGCAACAGTTATCTCCTGCCTTACCCCACTCTGTAATTCTTCATTTCCTGGGTTTATGACACTTGTTTGTAGGATAACTGCAAGTCATGTAGGTTATTCGCCCTAAATTACTAGCATGTGTTCTTAATGCCATCCTAACAGTTTTTTGGGGAAGAAAGTAGAAACATTATGGATGCAGCTCTTCTACATGCACTTTTATGTCAAAAAATGGCTTTGTAGCTTCAGCACCTTCTTCAGGTGTGTCCAAAATTATGACTGCAGACCATGTAGACACAAGGACTAGCTACATAACAGTTATCTGAGGTTCCAATGGTAGCGAGAGGCAATGTGAAAAACCAGAAAACTTGATGTTTGGATGGCACACTAAGCTCACAGAGGGGGAAAAACAGCTTACAGTGTTTATAAATAAAACCTGGACAAATTAGATCTATAGTCAATGAAAGACAAACAAAGGACCCGCAATGCCATACTCATAAAAGCACTTTTATGAGCCATACAGTATTCAAGAGACCTGCTGGACTGCCCTAAAAAAAAAACTCCACTACCATCGCTACAGTGGAACTAAAATTAAATCAGGTGCCACTGGATTTATGGAGCGTTTGAGTTTATTTGAACCAGCTGAGCTGTGAAGCAGTACAGAGAGCTCCTCTCTCCTCTTTACCAGTTTTAAGTGTTTACCCACCACAAAGCAGCAAATGATTTTCATCCAAATATCACACCAGAACTATCAAGGTATTTCCACGAATGTCCGTAGCACTTTGTTTTTGTTGCTCATACATAGGGACTTACTGAATTCACAGTAGAAGTGGGCTGTACAGCAACTCCTTCAATCTTGCAGGTTCCCCTACTCCCCCCTTCCCTGTTGCTGCCTGGCTGAGAGGCCCTGGTGGCCTTGTTGATTGTTGCTGACTGGCTGGGAGGCAAAAACAGCACCATTTTAAACACAGGGTTTTTGCCTCCCTTCTTATCAGGAGTGAGTGACAGGGTCCCTCTGCCAATCAGCAGTCGGGAGGTGCACAGGGAAACCTGCAAAATTAAAGGAGCTGCCTCCCAGCCCACTTCCACTGTGAATTCAGTAGGTCCCTCCTCATACAGGATGTTTTGTTATTTCTATTTCTGTTGAAGGGAATATCATTGCTTTTCCAACCCTAGAACTAATAGTTACAGTTTACCTTCTTTGTGTAGCACTTGCCATTCTCCAGCAATCCAAGCCTTTCTGGATGCATAGAGGATAGTATAGCGAGTAACAACAGTTTCAGGACCATCAGGGGGCTTCCAGGAAACCAAAGCAGTGTCATCTTCTATCAAAGTCACCTTCACTCCAACTGGAGGGCCAGATGGAGCTGCAAGAACAGAAACACTATTATTATGGTTATTAATTCACATACACTGAAGCTATTTTACAAAAAAAAAATTGCAAATCCTAATGTCACTCTTAATGGCTACAGTTAACTCCCAAGTAAACAGCTGGGAAAACACACACTGGTGTCCTCAAAAGATACTTTCTTTTCCACTCCAATTTGAGTTTACCATTTTATGGAATCATATTTGGATCACTGAAACCAAATTACTAAAACCATTATTTTTGTTTCAAGTCCAATGTAAACTGTTATTTATAAACAGATCAGTAATTCCCATTAATTTGAGCATCCCAGACACTGCAACACTTAGGACATGAAACTGAATTCATTATAGATGTTCATAGCCCAAGCTGCAAGAAATGTGAATCGAGAAATAAGCTGCTAAAGCAATAAAAAGGAAACTGGATTTTTAACATCTCTGCAGTTTTTATAAATTTAAGTTTTGGGTATACAGACAAAAGATTTTTTTATGTATGGCTTAAAAATGACAGTGTCCCTTTAGCATGCTATTTTTAAGTTCTTATTAATGGTGTTATAATTTAAATGTCATTTGCAGAGGAAGCAAGTTTTATTTTGTGCACCATTAGCTACAGCTTCTCTGTCAAAATGTATATGCAAATTCACCGTTCTAAAGGTAAGTGGCTTATCCTTCTCATTGCTTTTCTGTACCTCCTCACTAAAGACAAACAAATATCAAAATAACTTGGGAAAGTATTAAAAACAAAATTCCACACACCACTTAAGAAAATAATAGTAGTAGAAATAGTAGTAGTAATAATAATAGAGTGCAACAAACATGAAAACCGTTTTTAAAACAGCATCAGAACTGACTCTTTCCTAATGTTCTTACCTTCTGGAAGTGTGGTATGGTAAACTACAGGACTCCAGGGACTAGATAGCTGATCCACATGCAATCGAACTGCGAACTCATACATTGTTTTTGGCTCTAGACCTTGGACCAGCATGTGAGTTTCTGATCTATAAAGATGAATAAAAAACCCATTTATGTAAAAACATGGTTGATTAGCTCACCCAGATGAACCTCTGGGATGACTAAGTGTGCCAATGACTGATGCTTATCAGTTCAACCCTGCCAGGATAGGAACATGTCTGAAGGCCAGCTAGTACACAGTGTCCCCACCCCATCGAGTTGGAGAGGTAACCTCTAGAGAGAATCCCCTCCCCCTAGGCACTTCTCAGTGATGTGTGGACCGTCCTCACAGAAAACAACTCCTGCCACACAATGGGCTCTAATTCCTACTCTGCTGTACAGGTTGCTTAACATAATGCTACAATACCTCTGTGCACTTAGAAATACCCTAAAATCTACAGAATAGCAGAATCAGTCCTTAAACCTAAGGAACCCTGGCTTCCAATCCTGTGATCAGATAAAATGACCATGTATTATCCTTGCCCAGTTAATCTATGAATGAAACATCCCTTTCACTCCTTTATACACTTCCAAGTCTCTCTCTTCTTCAGATGGAGAACACCTTAAACTTTACATGATTCAAAAGCACAAATTCATCGCACTGATCTGGCTATACCACAGAACAGGGCTGTCCAACTTCTATGTGGCTGGGAAGCTACATGCCTTGTGAGCTGAGCAGTGAGGGCTGCATGTCATGCAGGCCACACCAGCATAAACAATAGGATGTCTGAGCCACACACCACACATGCGCCCCCCCTACCTCTAGGCCCCCACTCATCTCTCTGGCTGTGACACCCTCACTACACCACGCTGCACATGCGCCCAAGGCCACATACTACCCCAGTACCACAGGGCATGCGGTGCCACCCTGCACACTAAGGTAGGGGAGGGAATTGGAAGCCAGAGGAAGGAGAGGAAGCCTGGAGACCCTGGCTGCTGCTGAAGCAGCCAGAGCAATGGGAGCACCAGTCCTGAGGGAACCAAGGGGCTCCAAATTAACCTCTCACGGGCTGCATGTGGCACCCAGACTGCCAGTTGGACAGCCCTGTCATAGAGCAGAGCTAGAACTGGATGCCCTGTCCTCTGTGATGGCAGAATGTAGTGAGGTAATCCTGAGCGTCAAAGATGAAGAGCTAAAGCAGTCTAACAGCACCTCCTGATAACCTACAAGTCAGAACAGGCAGCAGCACTGTCCCAACAGGTGGAGATAAGGTTCCAGTAAGTGGTAATTAAAAGATGCAGGAAGATGGGAAAGAGAAAAGAAAGCAAAGAGGAGGCACTTGGGAATGAGGAACTAAGAATAATTAGCCAAATTGTACATACGTTTGAAGGTAGAGGACCAGAGATGCATTCTGCAGCCCCACGGGGTTACAACGGATGGTGTAATTAACGACTTGTGCAGATGTGAACGCAGGTTTTCCCCAGTGGAGGAAGACAGAAGATGAAGTGTTAGCTTTGGCATACAGGTGGTGGGGTGGTGGTGGTGGTGGTACCATACGATCACGGACAGCTATTTAAACACAAAAGAAACAAGATTTATTTAATGAATGAAGTATAAATGTTGGCAGGATTAAGAAATAGGTCTGAATTGGTAAGACTGGATCCAGATCTGGCCTTTTGCAAGGTTAGATGCTGTTCAGAGCTAGGAATCTGGTTCAGGCTATTAAAGATCTCTAGGGAAAGAAATAAAACAGCCAAAAACAGGTGATTATTCCTCAGACCTCTCTGTTTAATTAAAGCTGGGGAACTCATCAAACAGGAAAACTGGAAATGTATACAATGGGGTATGTGGGCTGTACAGTGTTGCAGAGACAAAGGGAGAAAGTGCTGTTTGCTGGTTCTCTCACTCATTCTTCCTGGTTGCAGTTCATATTCTACAGAAACCTGTCTCAGATTTGGTGTAGGGGGTGGGAGTTTACAGCTGTCACAGATGTGGTCTTTTTGGTCTCCAGATTTTTAATAATAAATTTATATTTTGTTTGATTAAAAACCCCAAGCAAGTAGAATTAAACTGTTTTTGAACTGCTCAGTTCTTGTAAAATTGGGGAAGTGACATTAACACTTACAGACACATCCTGGAGTACTGACTGTTTGGTCTGCCTGGTAACCTTCTTCCAGGCTGTTATAAGCCAACAGCCGTACATGGTACTTTCTTCTAGGATCTGCAGAGAGGAACACAGAACAAGTCATTAAACTGCTGGTAAAGAATGAAGATTTTCAAATATCTACAAAAAGACTAAGAAAATTGCTGAAGTCAGCTCAATCCTAATACCACTTTTGTTCAAAACTTGTTTGCTGGAACCCAGAAGGGACTCACATTCTTGCTCCCAATAGCTTAAATCAGAGTTTTGTCACAAGACTTAATGAAAGCATAATCAATAATAAATTGGTTTTTAAAGCAATTTCTTACCTTTGCAGCTGTAATGCTGAATTAATTTAGCACTATTGAAATAAACACCCTGAAAAAAGACTTTGATTACAAAAACTTTGACTATAAAGAGCACAGCCTGGATTCCAAAGATACCAGGAATTGTTTCTGGAGAAGTTGGATAGATTGAGGGGGCAAAAACAAAAGCAAAAAAATAGGACTGGGTTCAACCAAGAAGTAGGCAGAATTGATGTGGTCCTGGCCCTCCAGAAGTTTTGCAGTGAATGATTGTTGAAACTTCTTCTGACTTAGAACATTAACTTTTAGGCATTTTCTTAAAACCTGATCTTAACCTGTTTCAGTAGTCAGTGATTATTTGACTTCTTTGAAGCAGACATATTTTCAGAAATTTCATTTTCTCGTAAACAACGTCTTGTCATTTTCAGTAAGTAAAAAAAATAAATAAGAGTACTCTTCTATGGGATATGTTGTTTCTCTCGTGAAGTTCAGAGGAGTTCCTTCTGCAGGTTTGAGAACAGCTGCAACAAACATGTTACTAACTCTACAGTTGCAATTTTGCTGTTGTTTTTTGATGAGCTTGCTTGTAGGGCCCCTGGAAGGGATGGCCCCAGAGCACTGAGTAAGTGTGTGATGGCCCTATGCTTCAACATAGTGAGAGGAAATGTGCAACTATGCCTCACTAAAACTATCGATACCTGAGAGTTTTTAAAGGCAAAGGGAAGGAAGCTACACAGCTCCCATCAGAAGGCCTTGCTTTGGGAAATCTCTGCCAAAGACTACAAATGGAAAAAAAAGAGGGAAATATATATATATATATCCTTCTGTTTTACCAAAACTTAGATGTAGTTTGCAATAATTGCAGATACCAATTTTTCAGATCAAAATGTGATTTTCATGTTGGTGTGCCTCATAATATCTCTTCTTTGTTCTTGATGGAATTCTTCTAGTGCTGCACTGGGAGAAATGTTTGGTTATTTCCTTTTTTACTACCTACATACATAGGATATTTTGCCTTCCACAAAAATTTTAAAAGTTAAAATGGAAGTCACAAAAGTGTGTTGCCTTCTCTCAGCCTTTTTCCTGTCCTAAAATGTTTGCAGCTTTGATTTCATTCTTTCCCAAATTAACCTTCCTTCTTTTCTGCTTGATCTGTGATTTAATGTAATCTCTTGAATCCAATCAAGACGCACATACTTTAGTGATGGTTCTGAAGGCAAACAGGACTTGAGCTTCAGTTGGATCATTAGCTCCCTCTGCTGTGTCTGCATTCCTAGTACCATCTTAAACAAATCTCCTTTACATTTAAAAAAAACAAACCCCAAATTCCCCCAAACCCAGGAAGTTATCTTTCTGGGAGAGTTGCAAAGTACATTTACAGAATGTTTTCATGCTTGTTTTGAATGGGGCTGTGGCAGGGTAGCACCAGGGTACCCACAAACATTTTTTTTTGCCACCATCCTATTTTGGGACCATCTGCCCCACACTCACCTGCCATGCCTTGCTGTCTCCATGAATATTTAGACTGCAGGAGCCTATCCTCATGTAAGTGGTGCAAACTACCCTCATGGCCCTGGCCTTATGGGCCACTACATATGGCTCCTGCCTTCCCTCCACCATGTCCTATGCCTCATAGATGTCACATTCAGTTAATCCAGCTCACACCCCACAACTGGGCCATGCTTTGCTGTTACCTTCCAATTACTCTCGTCACATCATGTTTGTCACATACAGTATATTATACCATCTTAGCTGAGTCTAACCCTGTCACATCCAGGATACTCCATTGTCTTAGCTGGTTCTAGCCCATACCAGGCCCCCTCATCACAGGTTCTCTACTTCCCACTGGCCTGGCTCTGCTTACTCTGGCCCTCTCCCTTTCACAGTGGCCTGGCCCTGCTTACCTCAGGCCCTCTTCCCTTCATGGTGGACTGGCTTAGTTTGCTCAGGCCTCTCTCCAGACCTGGCTCTGGTTAGCTCAGGCCTAAATCCACTGCCCCAGACCTGACTCTGGTGTGCTTAGGCCTCTCTCCAGACCAGGTCCCAGTTTGCTCAGGCATCTCTCCAGGCCTGGCCCTGTCTAGCTCAGGCCTCTTCACTTCTCCTTGGGGCCTCTGGACCCTCATGGCCCAAATGGTCTCACTCTAGCCCCTCACTTTTCTGTCAGGATGTGCTCCCTTAGCTTTTCCCCTCCATGGGGTAACCAACAAGGCAGTGAGGTCTGAGGCTTTCCAGCACTCCATACTCGCCTTTCACTGGGGAGGCTTGGTGTGGCATTTCCTAAACACTGCCCCGCCACAAACAGCCCCACCACACCGTCCAACCCCAGTAGAGTGTATGTCGCAGAGCACTTAGGTTCCCTGCTCCTTTTAAAGAGGGGAAACTGCTAGGGAAAGAGCCCTAGCAGTGAGTGAGGAGCCCCAGCTGCTGGTTGCCAGGGCAACCAGAGTTAACTAGTGACCCACGCATGCCAGCAGTCAGCTGACCGGAAGGGGCAGGGCCTGGCTCACATTTAAACCCCAGGGCTGAGGCCAGCAGCCAAGGGGGAAGGAGCTCTCCCAGAGCAAACAAAGGGGGGAGGCCTGAATGCAGGTACAGCCTCTGATGTGGGTGAGAGATGGAGCACCTCGGCGCAGCTTGAATGAGGTTATAGCCGGGCAGCTGGAATTTATGTTATAGCCCAGGGGCTTGTGTTTTGTTTACTGTTTAAGACCAGTGGTTTGGGTGAGGCTATTAGGGGATGGAGGAGGCCTCATAGGGGACCCATGGCAGCATGGGGGCCCCTGCACCAGAGAGGGCACAGCATTTGGGGTGCACCGACCCCAGCGCCAGAGAGGGTGCAGTGCGAGACAGGGCCGCAGAGAGCCCAGGGAGGACAAGGAGGCCTAACTGTAACAAGGCCCAGACCAAACAACATTGGTTCCATCTGCGAGGCTTGAGGCGTGGTAAAGGGATGGTTGGAGCTACGCATAGCCCATAAGACTAGGGAACCCCGAAGCACCCATTGTAGAACAGGACCCACAAGGGGTCCAGGAGCCCACAGGGTCAGAGAGTATAACAAGACCATGTCCAAGACGATGAAAAGGCAGCCTCCTTAATATATACTTTACCATCAAAGATGTGGCGGACGAGAATCGAGGGTGCCCTTTGGGCCAACTTGGCATGGGAAGGGGGCCTTGGAGATCACAGCCCTCCTGTAGGACCCCGTGCTGTGACAGTGTAGTTTTCAGTCTTACCCAGCACCCATCATCAGGCCACGCTGACCTCACTGTACTTTCTCTTAGGCCTCCTCTGGGGATGTACCCTTCCCCCTTGCACTGGTGTTCTTAAGCTCTCAAGTCCCGACTCCAGCTCCCAGTCTTCCTGGCCCAAATCCTCTCTTGGACCCTTGTTCGTTAGCTCCACTCCTCGGGTGACTCTACAGGTCACCTCCATGCAGGCTCTGATGACTCTGGCATCCTACCTCTCACCAATGGCTGCTTATCCACGGATCTCTGCCTATCTCTAGCCAGCCAAGGTGCCAGGACCTCTGCAATACTGGCCACCTGTCATGGTGGTTATTCCCTTCAACCCTTTAGTGGGCCGTGCCCCCACTAAGCTAGTTGAGGTCTCTGACACCAGCACACATGGCCCTCTGCCCTCTTTCATCCTGGGCTCTCCTCTCCGAGCCTCTTCAAGTTGCTCACTCCTTACTGGGCTTGGAACCCCACTATGATCTTATTTTCTCTACCCCTCGGGTACACTCTAGCCAGGTGCTCCACTTCCTGTGCCCTGGTTCTAATTCTCAGGGCCCACTCGTCACCTTTGGTGGCCTGACCTAGCCTAGCTCCTAGCCCAGCTCTCCCAAGGCCACTGGTCTCAGCTTCTCTGCCAGGCTGGGGCACTCCTCCCCTGGGTCCCTAGGAACTTCTGCCTCCCCAATAGTTCCTACGCTGTCCTCCAATTATACCGATGACATTCCAGAGTTGTGCTCCTCTCCTGCATGAGTGCTGCTCTCCCAGCTACTGTATTGTTGCCCCCATATTACAGCACTCAGCCTGGGCTTATGCCCTGACTCAGCCCAGGCTCAGGCCAGCCAGTCGCCCTCTGGGCAGTCATGTGAGGCTTCCTGAATCACCCCAGCTGCCACTTTCTCAATCTGCTGGGTCAGCACACCTGCTGAGGCTTCCCTGCTCTGGCTGGCTCCCTTGAAGTAGCAGGCATGTCCAGTGCCCTGCCACAGGAAAACTTCTGGGAAAGTATTGCTCCAAATGTATATTTTGTTTTTAAAACAATGTTTAATCAGATCTAATACAACGGTCTGGGGGCTTTTAATATGTAAATGAAACAGTTATTTTAAACATTTCTTTACTGCATTTGACACTTAGCCTTTGAATCAGATCAGTGCAAAAGAACAAGTAAAAGTGAAAGCATACAGCCTATTTTCATTGTCCAGGCAGAATATAGTGCAACAATGAAATTGCAAAAACTAAATCATATTTTAAAATGTTACTAGTATTTAATGATCTAAGTGCTGCTATTAGCACAAAAGGTTGCTTCAATTTTTTTTAACCAAATAAACTGATGAAGTGAAATGCTACTTCAGATATCACTTTTTCAGATCTCAAAAATAAATCATAAATGAAGAAAACAGCTGAGCATTTGAAAAGCCATACTACTTTAAAAAAATAGGACTAACAATGAAAGAGGGGTAAACCTAAGAAGCTCCCCAAATTTTGGGTGCATCAAATCCAATCTTCCAATCCAATCAAACTTCTCAGGGCTGCAAAATTAAGCACTGAATCTAAAAGACATAGCATCTTTGGTTTTCCAGGGTTCCTGCTGCTAACTAGGTTAGAAACACCAGCATATGTTATTTTAGCTCTTCTGCTTCAAGTTGAAGCTAAGTACAAAAACTTTAGAAAGGTAAGCAGAACTTTTTTTAAAAAAAGGCCTTCAGAATGACTTTTTTTGTCTTTTGAAGTGGCTTGTGTTAACTGATTTTTCCAACTGTTCTTAAAAAACTCCTGAATTCTTATACTACTTGGCAGGGTTTTAAAAAGATTCCATATAAACAAGTGGCATCCAACTGACCAAGTGTCACAGTCTATTTTTCCTTTACAAGTTCCTCCAGAGGAGACCCCTGCTGCATTTCCGCAAATCACAGGATGACAGACACAACAATTTATCATCCTGCCCAGCACCTTCAAAAACGCCTTGTGCCCTTTGAAAGTGGTCACCCAGAACTGATCATCTTTACTGTGAAATGAAGAATAGCTAAGGTCTAATGCCCTGCTGAGCTGAATGAGCCTGTGAGGTCTGTTTATACTCACTGTTTTGTTTCGTTTTTTAAACCTGAATTCCTCATTAACACTTAATAAGGTGGGGAGGGAGGAAAATGTTTTACTCCTAAACACATTACTGGGTATTTTTCTGTGCGTCTTCAAGTAAAAGCTAATTTTTAATCATATTTTGCAAAATAAAAGTGTCTGGATTAGGTCAGTACACCAAGTAAAAGCACAATATTCAATACAGTCAATCTTACATATGTATAATGTGAAAAGCTGCAAAATAAAGAACATTAATTTTCTATAGCACCACATGCATCTGCTTTCTACTGACATGAGAAACACTCTGAATTGTCTCCACCATTTAAAAGCAGACCTCTGTACAGAACATAATTATTACATGGTTCAATTCTTAGCAAAAATTGAAGCCAAAGTCCATGTAGAAAAAGTTCACCAAACTGTTGTGTATTTATTGTTTCCATGGCCAATGGAGCACATATTGGCAATATAGCCTCTCACAACCAAAGATTATATATTCTGGACTGATCTGAAGGCACCTAAAAATTACGGAGCCCAAGAGTAAAGAAATTAAAAGGTGGAATAGGAAACTGTATTGGACAGCTGAAGAAAACACTTTAAAACATATTTACAAATTATTCTCATAATATTGATGCAAATCCAATTCAGGCAATATTTGCATAAACATTCTTAAAAGGTTTATGATATGGGGAAAAAAAAGTTATGCTATTATATAGAAGATCTTCTTGTGGCTCGGAAAAATTAAGGAAATAAATGTACCCAACCAATATTATGAAGGAGGAAATATATTTTTGTTCTGAAGTAGTTTGTACACAGACTATTAAAGCTTTTATTTATTAGACTGATTTACTGCCTTGATGTGATCCAATCCTAGGTGGCAATCCCAATACAGTCTTGGCATAAACATTTTCATCTGGCAGTTCATCAATTGGATCAAACATTTTCCATACAGATCTTTAAACAAAAAAACAAACCTAGGCATTTGCATTATCTTTATCCAGTATAGATATCCTGAATAATTTATATATAAATCATTGTTAAAAGATTGGTGATGGCAAGGCCACCCAAGAGCCTGACAATCTGAACTTTAGTATATGCCATCTATGTGCATTAGACAGCAACTGCAGGCTTCATAGTCACAGAAATCAAGGAAGAACCCAGAGAGGCCACCATTCAAGCTTACAGACAAGGGAACAGAATATCTCTGCCACAAAAGACTGCTGCTGTTCAGCAACAACTGGACTCTGGTATTCACTTTACTTAACACAATATTCAGTACCTTAATTGATTTAAAATCTGAAAACCCCTAATTCTACATCTGTGCTATGTACTGTTTCAACTAATTCTAGAAAGTCAGTTTTACTGGTTTTTGATAAAGGCAGAAGGTCTAGTCCTGGAGATGAGGCAAATGGGTATTTTGCAGTTGATTTACTGGCTGGCTGAACTGAGTTACTTTGTTTTTGTTGAACATTTGTTTTTTCACTGTTGCTGGCTTTATCATGTGTTGTGAGATTAAGTAAATAAATGTCAGGGTACCTGTAGCATCTTTTTATGGACATCTTTATTGTTATTACTTAAATATAAATAAGTCAATTGATTAAATGTACCCCAAACTATACACCTTACGTACAGTAAGAGACCAGCACTGTGCTTTTGTTAAGTTGTAAACAAATTATCTAATATTAATTCACTAGCTTTGCTGCAAGAGGACTTCCAAAACTCATTACCTTAGTGAATAAATTAGAGATTGCAAAGAGAAGACTGGATAGGCAACTGGCTGGGGTTTTATGACCCCTGCCACCCCCAGTGCTCCTTCCTGCCCATGGCAGGGGGTCGGGCTAGATGATCGGTCTAGGTCCCTTCCAACTCATTGATTCTATGATTCTAAGATATTATGAAGCAGGTAGCAACTGGAATTTGGAGTAGCTGGAGTGATCTTAGTATAAACATGACCATAGTTTTATCTGATGTGGCCAACAAATGCCAACACTCAACTATAAATTTAACCACAGGCGTAAACTATTGTGTGCATGCGCACGCGCGCACACGCGCACACACACACACACACACACAGTATTCCTATGAAACAAGAAGCTGGCAAGATCCTAACACATCTATTCAGTATTCAAGATAAAGATTTACTTTCAATGCTCTAAAAATATTACTGTTTCGCCTATCCTACAAAAATCCTACCAACAGCCTATAAGACTCTGCAGTTCAGTATAATTCGGTATTCTCCGATGTCATTTATTTTCCCATAAATAATTGCAGTCAACTAAGAAAACTTTAATGTTTCTTCCACCAATCAGACACTAGGGGGAGTATTCTCTTTCTCAGCAGCTGAATGGGTTCCACAAGTACAGAACTAAATTACATTCACTTAAATAAACATTTAACTGGACATGTTCCTAAAATATAGGTTACAACCAGAAAAGGCTATTGAAAGGAACTATTTTTCTTTATAAAAGTCCTGGTAACAAATTTTAACTCCTCTATTTTATTATCTCTAGATCCCAGAGATGTAATTATAGCAGTGCAGGTCATAATTACTTAACATACCCACACACACACTATATTGTCATTACTGTTATAAACCAAGCCATCAAAAATCAGGTACATTTGATAAAAATATCTGACTCCAGAGAAGTGTATTTTCCCTGCACTAAGTGCCCCATATATGTTTAGTGTTTCAGATAAAGTGATTCTGAAGTTTCAGCACTGAATGTTAATGCAATAATAAAACAGCTCCCATTTCCACAGAACATCACTGCATTCCATAGGAAGATGAGAGAAGCATTATTGTAGATTTCCTTTTTTCCCTCAAAACAAATAGTAAAAACAGAAGATTTGACTTTGTGGCAATTTTTTATTCTAGCATTTGCCATGCTTCTTTAGACAGTTCACAGTTAACTTAAATACTTGCAACTAGTGACATCAACTCTGCGTCTACCAAATCTTCCAGCAAATCACTTTCAGTGATGCCAACTGCTGCCAAAATAAAGTACTACACAGGACAAACAAGTCATCCCAGTGGGATGTAGAAGAAAACCTGTTCTAAGTGGATTTCTTTTCTTTTTGTCCAAACCTTTAGAAGACCAGATTAAATATAAAATTCTTAGGCTATACATATGGCTAGTGGAAGCAGCTAAACATTTTATTTAAGCATATAGGGCGCGTTCCCATATGCAGGGGTGTGCTTTTGCCACAGCAAAAATAGCAGTGGCACAAATTTGTTTGGTTTGGTGCAGGGCAAACTGTACCAAGTGGGGTAGGAAGGCAAATATTCCCAAGTGGCACCTGTGCTGACCCCAGCAGTCCTATCTGGGGTTCTGGGGGTCTCCCAGGGCAACAATGGCACCGATCCAGCTGGTTTGAGCTTGGAAAGTATGGCTTTGGCCGGCCAGACTCCATTTCTGGTGGCACATGCTGATGCCCCATGCACCATGCTGCTCTTTTTTTTCTGTGGCTTATTTGACACTGGGATCTCCCACTGTCAAATTCTGGTGCCAGGCTTCAAATTAGCAGCAGAGCAAATGCTTGCACATTCACCGTGTGCAGTCTGCAGTACTTCAAACAGCTCTGAGGCTCCGCAAACCACATGTGCACACTCTTCTGGACATGCCCAAACAGCCCAATTCTCAAACCGATATCCAGTTCCAAAAGCGGATGCTTTACTTAAAAAATGCTATTCCTGGACATAAGCAGGACATTAATACCTAGAAGTGTACTGGAGCTACCTTGCACCACACAGAGCAGATTATAAAATTCTTTAGGATGAATAAAATTACTATCTCTTCACTTAGTTCCACACTTTCTAAAACACAGTGGCAAGTAAAGAAAAATATACAAGATGATCTAACATTGTTCTATAATACTATAAATTGTTGTTCTTTTAATTGGACTCTAAATCAGAAGCTGAAATCAGCCTTCTTGCTGGGATATAAAGTGATTGCAGTAACAGTTACTGTCATTTTGAAAAAGGAAAAAGATGTCCTTTGTTTTGTAGCTGTTTCTCCCTGTGGTAAGGGCAACATGGGGAGAGGAAGGAACATCTCCCCAGCACAGGTTGGTTCCATCTGGTGAAGTTATACCTCATGACTGCCAGATGGTGTCATCATGCACTTCCAATGAAAACACTGCTAGACAGAGTATTGGCAGTGAGTAAGAGGTATCTGTACTGAGGTTTTCTTATACCCTCTCTGCAACTCATAAAACTTAAAATGTAAATCATTTGATTTTTAAACTATAAAGTTTGCATAAACAAAACAAGGAAAAGGTAACCAAGAACAAGTTTCTGCAGCACTTAATTCAGTTCCATATTTTCAATAAAGAAATGTCATTATAAGAATTAGTTATTCCAGTATATGCATCTGTAAAACTCTAAATAAAAAAAAATTAAAAAAACATGCATCAGGAACAAAAATTTGCAGTTCTCAACCATGCTTTAACACTATCCTCTGAATCAAAGAAAAGGTCCCAAGAACTCCGTATGTTTTATTGCAGTTTTAGTAAATCCTCTTGTTTTCACAAGATTAATTTATTCTAAACATACCTACAAGTGCCCAGGCTGGAAAGTGACGAACATATGGGAAGAATATCCAAGACTGTTTTGTACAACAGACACATTGACACATCGCAAAGCAAATATTCATTGATTTGGAGC